ACAATTCAAAATGCTTATTCTTTAATAGGTCTTTTGGTATTTTCAATTTTAGTATAAATATGCTTCCTAAGCTATCAATATTGTAAATTATTCATTCCTCTATTTGATATACAATAGTAGTCCTTTTTGTTATCATTCATTGGTCATTCTTCTTCTCCTCTTTCATTACCTTGCACCAACAATATTGTTCATTGTAAATTTTAATATGAAAATGATTCTTATTACTCTCTGACCTTAGAATACATACATCTTCCATTTTAAATTTTCTGAAAATTCCTTCTTTCCACATTTTTATATATTTTATTTTCTTTCTTTTTGTCCTTTTTGTTAAACCATCATCAATCTGAATTCGAAGAAAAACTAATGAACTGACTAATGTTTTCTACTAGGCCCAATAAATAAAAGAGAAACTTAATTGATATTCAGTTGAGAATTATACCTACACCCTTAAAATTAAAATTGGCACCTCTATATATTTCTAATGAGTAATTTATTCTTAAAATAAAAAATAAAAAGATGATAGTTTTTTAATTTTTTTATTATAAATTTTGATATTTATATCCATTTTTTCAAACATCTGATATAAAATCATAAATTTTGAGAAAATATGTGGGTTTATACTGTATGTTTCAAATATCCAATATAAAACCATAACTTTTGGGAAATCTTTGGATATATAAAAGATTTTTTAAATAAATGGTATAAAAAGTACGATGCACTGTTTTTTTTTTTTAAATTCAATTGGCTATATTTTCATAATTAATTAAAAAAAAAACAAAGTTAGGGCTACTAGATTATTTGATAAATCAAGTATGTATCATGGATCCTAGGGTGTTAGAATAAAACAGTAAAGACAAAAAGGATGCGGATATAAAACATAATCTATCAAACAACTAGCAAAATTGATAGTTAAACATGTCTATAACTTATCACTAAAAAACTTTTAGAAGCACAAATAGGAAATGAATCTCACCAAGTGTTATAATCAATAAAAAAATTTGCATCAACTAATTTATTTGTACATGTATTTTGCTCTCTAAAATTGTGAGATATCATGGATCTAAAGGAACATATACTATATAAAGTATTCTTTCATGTAATTAAAAGATGCTAATAGACAATATTCACACTAAAAAAAATGCACAAATGGTTAAAATTTATTCAGTTTCAAGCAAAGGATTTCTCTAATTTCTCATGTTACCATATTCGAAAGCAAGCATGAATCCATGCAATTCAGCTTGAAAGAATATGCATAGTTTGATATTTTAGGATTTTATCTTGAAGCTCCATTCGTGATGCAATTAATCTAACTATGACTAGAAAATCACCAATTAACTCGTATGATTCAAGGTGCGAGAGGAGGTCGGAATTTGATCTCAAAGCATTTAATAATTTTAAACTAATGAATTGAAGAATACATGTGCCCTTTAAAGAAATAGATGTCATATAAACCAATTGTTTAATATGAAGAATGTCTCTATCAAAGTCAATTTTTACCATTTTGAATTATGACATCATATCTTGTCTTCCAAACAATTATCATGATATGAGTCATGATCATATTCTTAATTTGAGAACTCTAACTTCTACTTGCAAGTTTGAATAAGCTTTTGTAACTAGTTCTATCAATGTTCATTCAATTCCAAAAAAGTAAGGTGTGCCAACATATGAGAAATAAATGTTCTACAATTTCTACATTATGATTACATAGAGAGCACATCAAAACCATATGCATTCTCCTTCGGACCAGGTTATCTTTTATTTCAATGCATCATACATTCACTTCCAATTCACTAATGACTTAACAAGTGGTATGTAGGGATGTCAAATGAATTTTGTCCAAGAAGGCTCAATATAATCCCTCATGATACATTTGTATGCATCTTTAAAAGATATATCATCGTTCGCAAATCTTATCTAAATGAGTTTATCATCAATAGTATTATCAAATGATAAGTTCATCTTCAAAATGTCTTCAACATTTGAGGCGCCAAAATGGATAAGCCATGATGAATGGTCTAATCGATATCTTGGACAATTTAATTGACCTTAGAAATTTGTATAAATTGAATATCTATTGGCAATATTAGGAATAAATTATTAATTTTGTATCCCAACCAATTTTTAGTCCATAAATCAATGTTCTTTCTATTACTGACTTGCCATCTACTATGTTCCTCTAGAAATGAAAAGGAATGCTTAATGTCAGGTCATATTAACGAAGAAATTTGATTTATGATTAGTTTTTTGTGCCTGAAGTATCTACAAATAAGAATATAAGATCGTTGATTATTGATAGTCAACAACTTTCAACGAAGAGATAAACAACCAAATTAATTTATTTCCTTAATATCTCTCAGACCAAGACCTCCTTTAAACAAAGGTGAGAAAATAACCTTTCAAGATTTAGTAATCAAATTTATATTGTATATGCTACATGTCCACACAAAATTTATAATGTAAGGATCTAGTTTTTTTAAAGTATATTGATTGGTCATTCACAAATCCTAAGACAATACAAAAGCATGCATTGTGTGATCGACTAAATAAATTTAACCCTACCCACCATAAAAAGAAGGTGGCCCATCCATGTAGCTGGTTTAGAAAATACTCTATCTACTATGATTTGGTTATAAGGTTTAGGAATCCCAAAATAGTTAAATGGTGTTTAGCTTGACCACTACTATATCTGTTATGATCAGAACATGATGAGTTATAGACTTACCTTTGAACATAAGAACTCCAATATAATTAAATGGTATATGTCTCATGGTGAACCCATGTATATTTGTAATGTGCCTCATCATAGATCCAGAAGTACATCCACCATAAAGCTTACATTTAGTTTGAATCATGTGTTGAGTAGAATTATGACCATATTCTTGAAGGGGATGATCAATGACTTGGGGATTTTTTCTAGTATCTTTGCAAAATGCGATAAGGTAAATGTGTAAAAGAAGTGTGGCTAGTAATGGTTGTCTTACCAACTGATATGGATATCAACTTACTATGATTCGTCGATATATTAAGTGTCTCTTTAGTAATGCAGGAGATTAAGAGAGATCGAAGATATCATTGCCTCACTACTCTAGAGCAAGATATGGTTTTTCTAGTTTTCCCATTTATCATGATTAATTGCTTGGCTGAATGTATAATGGTAAGAATTCAATTACAAAAGTTTTTATCAAAGAAAAATTGAAAAAAGAACTTTAATAAGATATTTCCAATATAAAATATCAAAGGTTTTTGTGATGTCTCTTTTCCAAGCCATAATACCTCTAAAGGATTTCTTGTCCAACATAATAATGGCTTCTAAGTAATCCCAATGCACTCATAAATATGGTTTCCCCTAATGTAACCTCTATTGTGTGATGATTTTGGTTTTGATTTAAAAAATTTCAACTTCAAGAGGTCTATAATGCTCAATAGAATCTACTTCATATTGTCTAAGCATCAAAGTCACATAGACTGGATTGAGATTAAGAAGTATCTAACTTTGTTCAAAGGACTACTAAACTGAATTGATTATATCAGTCCCTAATATATCCTAATAGGCTTGGGAAAAAACATACCCCCAAAGCCATAAGGTCTTATAGCATAATTACCATCCATATTGTACACGACATTCTTAATTTCCTTCCGTTGATGTATTCTAGTGAGGTATTCATTATTCGCATGAGTTATAAGTTGTGGGATAGGTCTCTCCACTAGATTAGTATAATTACAATTTTTAAGCTAAATATTTTTTAGAAGTTAATAACATGATTATCTAATTCAACGCTCTCCTCTAAAAAAATATTTCCATGCCTCAGTCTAGTAATTTTGTTACTATCTTATCTCAATTTGAGTGTGTTGTGAAATTTTTTTGTAGTTCTATCTCCATCTTTAAACCAATTATTTATTACCATGTTCCTCCAAATCTAGTCTTGCATATGAAATTCCTTATCTAACATAAGTTGAGCATTTTTTCCTCCAATCAAAGATCATTATTGTAACATGCATCATTAATCAAACTTTGCATCCTACTATCTTCATAAGCATCTTGAGTACCTTTAAGATGGATGTCTCTAAATGTATATTTGGTGTATTTATTAAGAATAGGTTTAAGAGATCTCAACTTAGCATATTAAACAAACATACAAAAACAAACAAAAACAAGTATTCCAATTATCAGCAATCAATTGTCTCCATCTATCACCTAGAGTCTAAACCTTCATAAATTTGAATGGCCTAGCTGAACCAAACCTACCTTTGTCACAATGGAGAAGAATACGATAATGGTCTGAGTGCTTCTTTATCAAAGTGGAGAAATTAATTGTATTGTAGTTATCTATCCAACTTTGATTACAAATGACTCTATCAAGCCTAATAGAAGAGTAAGCACCCTTTTTCCTCCCAATGATCCAAGTGTAATAGCTATGATTAGACTTAAGATGTATAAACTCATTTTGATTTGTCCAACTAAAAAAATCATCAGTGGAACTTTTGTTTGGAGGGCATTTACCAATTTTTCATAGGAATAAATAATTGTATTGAAATCATCTATCATGCACCAAGCGCCGGGATTGGCATGTTGAAGATTGGCAAGTTCAATCTGTAAATGTCTTCGAATCACATAAAATTTACTTGCATATACAAATATAATGAAGAATTTAATTTGATCCACTTTTGTAGAAAAAGTTATATGTTGTTCAGAAAAACTCAACACACTGGAATTCATATCAATTACACAAAAAGCCCATATGTTTGAATTTTGACTCTGTAAAATTTAATGGAAATATTTTAAATCTGATTTGTTTAAGACACTCAGCTTAGGAAATAAGCATAAGGAATCATAGGTTCAATAATTAAAAGCAAGCCAAACTTTTGTTGATGATAGAGATTTTTAATATTCATCATAGGATCAAGGTTTCCTACTCCTCTAGTATTCCAATAAATGGCTTTTATTAAGTGGTGTTGTGCTTACCCGACATGGCTCGGGTGTTAATTTCCATTATAGGTTAAGCAAGTTTATTCCTTCCCCGACTCATTTTCTTGACCAAAGTAAATTCCTCCTGATGTGGTTCAAGAAAATTTTCTTCATCACCCCAAAAGTTATTATTCTTCTTCAAATACAAACTATCACAGGGATATCTCACCGGATTCTTAGCACTATTTTCCATAACCAGAATATCAGGATCAGGTTGCTCCCTTCCATCATTAGTCATTTCTTTATCAATCACCAAATTCTTATTCAAATCATTAGCATTACTAATATTTCTTTTTCATTCAGAGAGATTATTTGTGATAAATTCCCCGCATTAACATTAACCTCATTCTTAATATGAATGACCACAACAAAGTCATCCTTCTCTATGTCATTTTCAAGAGTGTGGTTTCATGTCTTATTAAAATATACAAAGTCGTTATTCACTTTTTCATTCACTTATGACATTTATAGATTCATCATTCTTTATACCCTTCATACTGTCATTAATTGATATAACTTGTTTGGACTTTTTAGGCTGTATATTGTAGATTCTTTAATCAATGGCTACTCAATATTGTTGCCTTTCAACTTCTAACATTTATCAATACTATGACCAACACACACACACAATGATCACAAAAAAAAAGGTTAACTCTCGTATTCCAATTCAACAAAGAGTGCATGAACCTCATGTTTCATCAAAATACAACCATAGAGAGTATCTGACATGTTAAGGTCTATCTGCACATGTACAAAATTCCTGAAATTTCTTTTTCTTGTACACTAATCAATTGATAAAGGAGGGCTAATACTAGAAAAAATTGCAAATAAAGTAGTTGATTCTCAATACTCTAATGGAAAACCTTGCATCCTTAACCACACTTGAGCATGTGTAATCTTCAAATTTTTAGATCTAAAATCTAGGTCCATGCAGACAAACGTATGAGCGAGGGATTAACACGCCATGTCCCTACACTCCAAATTTTATTGAGATCCTTCATTAATTTGAATAAAATTCAAAATACCCACGTCTCAAAGTAGTTAAATGTCGATTAGTAATTGGGCTCCAAAATCTCATGATTTTGTCATGTAATTTTGATGCCTTTAATGGCATGTTATATTTACTAGTGACTAGTCTATGATGTCTTGCAACGTTCGAGCCCATATTTGTAAGCTTATTCAGGTATCTTGATTGAGAGATTGCTACTTTTTAGGAAAGACTTGAACAATTAGAAATTGATATATCACACGCATTTTGAAGAGCTTGCGCAAATAATTAATTTGTGTTTCAAGTTGGGATAGAGATATAGAATTCATTGAAGGAATAAGAGTCAACCATGTAAGGTATCAATGCCGGTGGCCTACCCCGAAGAAGCCCAAGTCGATTAGGTTTTCTTTCGAGCTCTAGCACGACATCCCCAAAAAACATTGGTATCGTTCAAACATGATACCTCCTTCCTCAATACTTTTGTCAACTATCTAAAGGATGAAAGTGTAGCAATATGTCTTTTGAACCTTGTGTTCAAAAATCAACTCGATCCGACGGTTAACAAATTCATTATCGTCAATATTCTAAAACAGAAATCACTAACCTTTCGTTGCTCTTCTCTCTCCCCCAATTATCTATTTATTTTCATTAAATAATTCAATTTTTTATATCTCTTAAAATAAGAAAATTATGGAATTGAAATGAAATGTGCCAAATAATTTAATTTGTTCAACGTCTTAATAAAAAAAAAAATTTGCACAGTTAATATAATAAAAAAATACTAAATACTATTCTTCATGCACACTTTTTGCGAAATGCAATTTTCTCGCATATTTTCTTAAAATTGAAATGTGCAGAAGTAACCACACACATCATATAAGAAAAATATGAGGAATGATAATAATACGTTCCCTTTTCTTAAGTTAAGCTATGCATGATGAAAATGAAATGTTTGAAGTGCCTAAAATGCATGAAGAGTTTACCAATGTGTTTAAAAAAATGTTATTTTCCAATCAATAAAATTATTGTTTAAATGTTTTTAAAAAAAAATTTCAACCAGTGAAATTATTTTATCATGGCCACGAGTTGTTTGATGACTAGTTACTATTTGTTTTAATACAACTATCAAACAAAGAGGCAGAAATTTAGATATTTAGTTGCGAAACATACGAAAATGTGAGATATTGTATCGAACTCTATTGAGTCGAAGAATAATTTGGTTTCGACAGTTCGAAAGAGTTGTAAAATATAGTCGAAGATTGCTCACATGTTGGTGTCAAAGTATTGTATGTTGTAGTTGGAGAATGATCAAACATGCAGCGGTCGAAGAATGCTAGGATTGTTAGTATCGAATTGGACATGTTTGTTATGTTCGATTGCTTAAGTTAGCTTGTACCCTAAGTTAACTTGTAATGGCTGTTTGTGAAAAAGGCTCATTAGTTTAGTATGTTAGTGTAATACGGTGGGAGAACTGATTTTTTTGGTTTTATCCAAATGCGCGAATAGCAAGAGTCGCTACCGATTTTTCTTTTATCTAATATTTAGAAAAGGTGAAAAGAACACGAAAGACCTTTGATAGATTTTGAGTTTGAGGGGTAAGTTATGAAAAGAGAATGTGTTAACACCCTTTTCATCCGTAGTTATCTACGGGCTTTTAATTGTTTAACTCATTTTTGAAATTTTTTTGCTTTGTGTGTGTGATTTGTTTGAAAATATTTTGAAATGTCAATGTAAGGCTAACTTTGTAATAATTCTTGTATTAGTCCTCAAGAATGTGTACAAAGAGTTTTTTGAAAATATTTGTTTTGAAAGTGATGTGTGAAAAATGTTTTTGTTTGTGAGAAAAATTGTGAACAAGCAATTAGGAGTGTAAGTGCCTTCGTTTAGGATTGGCTCATTTCTTGTAAAACAAATAGTAACAACAATAATGTAATGTATAATAAGAACAGCCTGAAAATCCTATTGTAAATGCCTAAACATGTTGTGTTGATTTAAATCAACATCTGGAACAACATGTCCCAAGAGATGTCATAACATCATACTAGACATCAAGCTACTGAACTGTCAAGTCTGATGCAGTTCTGTTCCTGAAGTTATGCAGAATATTCTGCCAAATAGAATGCATAACAAGTAGCGAAAATTGAAGGCATATGTGGAGCCCTAGAAGATTCAATCAGAAGCTAAGGATAAGGAGAAAAACTCGATTGAAGACCTAACTTGCAGCAGAAGTTTTCTGCTTACTTTATGCAGGTCGTTAAAGCTGCATTGCTGTCATATGAAGGCCCAAATCCAGTTGGGTAAAAAGGGTTATAAATAGAAGTATTGTAACCTAACTTAGGCAAGCGGTGTATTGACAAGATGTAATTATTAGGGATAGTTTTGTTGTGAACCACCCGGGCTGTGGGATGGTCACCATACTCCTTGAAACCTGTAGGTTAGAGGATGTATGCATTGTACTTGATTGAAGCTTTTAAGCATGATCAAGATGTGTAATGGAAGTGTATCTTCTGAACAGTTTATGTACTGTAGAAAGTTATCACTGCGGTGATTGAGGGGGAGTGAGAGGGGTCTCATATCTAGGATTGGATCTTAGGTAAAAGTGTCATTGGGTAGTGATTAAGTGAGGAGGCTGTCAACGGGTGTGTTGGCTGTAGGGTCTTTGAATTGATACTGCTAATAGTGAACTTTATCCCTGGCTTGGAAGCCTCCAGATGTAGGTTGGTTGAACCGAACTGGGTGAACAATTCTGTGTGGTATTTACTTTCTGCATTGGTTATTGGTTTGATGTCACAGCATCCCTCATGTCTTCAATGTATATGATTAACCTTAACTGCTCTAAACTTCAGTAAATCAGAACCTGCGTTTGTCAAAAGGTGTTGCAGGTTCTGGTATGATCGTTCAGTGACGGTTGTAGAACAGATATCAAAAGTACAGCCTATTCTACCTGTACAGCGCTTAATGTCAGATCAGATGTCTTAACATTCCATTAGACATCCTGAGTCTGTACATACCAGGAATTTCAATTGGTATCGGAGCAGGCATCCTGTCTGTCTCTGGATGAGATCCATGGGGGATACTTTCCGGTTGTGTACAAGGTAGAATATTGTTTGAACCAGTAGTGTTCATATTGTTTGGTCCCTAGGAGTGGAGGATGGACCAATTTGGGAGAAACTAGATCAGCTATGTTGAAGGAAGATGAAAGTGTTTGAACAAATTCAAAGACCTCATGCGGGAGTGAAGATATTGATAAGGCATCATATGTGTTTATAAAGCTTTCTTTTAACAGGGCTGTAGAGTTGGGTCTAGAAAGTTGCTTGGTGAAGAAGCAAACAACTTGTAGGATTGATTTATTTTCAATCCTTATGTGTCATGCTTGCTATTCCGCTGCATAGCTTCTGATACAACCCCTAAAGTGAAAGAAGAACTCTAGGGTTATTATTTTCAACAGAATTTGTAAGCAGATTTTGCAATCTATCAATAATGTCAAAGATACTTGAGATTTCCTCAAGTCCACTCATAAAGGCTTTTTGATGAGTATCAATTGATCAATGATTCTCATATACATCTGCAAGCTGCTTGAAGACCTTGAAGATTATCAAGGATGATGTGTTCCAAGGAGATGGAACTGATGTTCTTAAGGATGTTAGAACATCATGCAACTGCCAGTTGAAGACCAGATGTTCTGGGTGCTAAACACATGTAATGTGAGTACATATGTTTGGAACCTACTCCTGATCTGGAAGAGGAGACATCTGTTTTGAAATAATTGATCAGGACACGACCAACAGGTCATCTACTCCAGTTGTGAGTTTAAGGGAGTATATGTGCTGAGCTAAATGCACTTAAAAGGACCTTAAAGCTGTGATTTCCAGGTTTCCCCTCATGTGATGGATGATGGAACATCATTTCTGTGTCTTCAGCCAAGTAAATATGCTTAGCAAGCATGAAGAAGTAATCAGTCAGGATCCTCTAGTGTGATTAGATAATTCTAACTGAATAAATGATGGAAGCAGAATCTTTATGTGATAAATATATGGAAATCAGAATCAAAAGTTCTAAAGCTTGTGATGATAAAGGATGTACAACATCACAACTGTTGAAGACATCAGTTGTTGAGGAAAGACAGATAAGTTCCAGATTTAGTGAACATCCTCATGATTGATAATGAAGTTTCTTCTAGTACAAGTTACAGAATGTGGCAACCTGAAACTTGTACAGCAAGTAAACTAAGGACTCTTAATTTGAAACCT